AGATTCATAAACAATAAACAGTAAACACATCACTACAATTACACAATTTTGACCATTTATCTCGTTAAGAATTTGCAATTTCATTGAACATTGACGACTCTTTAAATCAAATTAATAAAATAATGTAAACCACAAAATATCCGCTTTGAAGAACATTAGAGATTTTCAATAATGGCATAAATTAAAATTAAATGTCAAAAATAATAATATCAAAATGTTAAAAATGTAAAATTCAATGTCAAAGCGTAAAATTAAAAGTCAAGATGTCAAACTTCAATGTCAAAGCGTAAAATTAAACGTCAAGATGTAAACTTCAATGTCAAAGCGTTTAAATAAATGTAATAATATGAATTAATAAAATTACTGAATTTAATCAAATAGTCATCCAAAATTAAAATAGTCATCAAGTCAACATTAATAATAATAATTTATAAAATTACAGAATATAATCAAATAGTATTATCATTAAAATAGTCATCCAAGGCATAATAACATTTCTCAACTAATAACTTGTGAAGACACTTTTTGAATTTCTTTAATGGCATACATTTTATAGCATCGGGTATTTTATTAAAAATTTTTGGTGCTACACCAAAAAAGCTCTTTTTCATTAACGCAGTATTACATTTCAACGTACATAGTTGATTTTCATATTGACTCCGAATGGGGGTCTTCTTAACTGTTGAAAACTTTGTAAATAAATGTGGATTTGATTTTACAAATAGTGCAGTTTCTAATATATATATAGCTGGTAACGTTAATATTTTTAATTTCTTGAAGTAGGGAACGCAACTATCTGTTGACTTTAAATTACACATGGATCTTACACACCTTTTTTGCATCCTAAATACTAGTTCTCTATTTGTTGATTGCCCCCAGAAAACAACACCATAACGGAGAATAGAGACTACAAGTCCATGATAGGCTGTTAACAGTGTCTCAGAATTAACTCTCTTAGATAATTGAAACAATAGATACGCAGATTTACTCAGTCGCTTACAAACCATTTCCAGGTGAGGTTTCCAAGTCAACTTATGGTCTACTGTTATACCCAAGAATTTTGCACTCGTAACCTCTTCTATTTTACACTCATCATAGGTAATATTAAGGGGTGGATTCTCACGTCGTTGATGAAACTGTATAATTTTAGTTTTATTCAAATTGATCACAAGATTATTATTATTTAGCCAATTAATGATGCTATTTAGCGAGTTATTGATCTCATTTCGATATTCGTTTGGATCAGTGCATTCTATGATAGCCGTACTGTCATCTGCAAAAAGTACCATTTTGTTTTTCAAATTTCTTGGGAGGTCATTGATATAGATTAAGAAAAGTGG